GAGTTGTAATCCAATGAGCACTCCACTGGTACAAAATCAAAAGTTGTGTAAAGAAGATGGAGGTCACAAGATCGATGAAAGAAAATATAGAAGCTTGATAGGTTGCTTTTTGTATTTGACAGCAATGCGACCAAATATCATGTTTGCGGCCAATCTACTCTCAAGATTTATGACCGCGCCTAGTGAAGTTCATTTCAAGGTGGCAAAGAGAGTACTGAGATATATCAAAGGAAGTACAAACCTCGGGATATAGTTTAGAATGTTTGAAGAATTTGATCTAGTTGGATATACAGATAGCGACTGAGGCTGGATCAGTCGAAGATATGAAAAACACTACTAGTTATGTGTTTTTTTTAAACTCAAGAGCATTCAATTGGTTTTCCAAGAAACAAGAAACAGTGGCGCAATCAACAACAAAAGCATAATACATTGTTGTAGCTACTGCAGTGAATCAAACGATTTGGCTAAGAAATGTCTTAAAAGATATGAAGCTAGAATGATGTGAGCCTACTACAATCTTGTGACAATCAATCAGCTGCTACAATAGCCAAGAATCATGTGTTTCACAGTCGAACAAAGCACATAAAAATCAAGTATCATGATGTTCGAGAAGCCGAACAGAACAAAGAGATTAAGATTGTTCATTGTTGATCTGAACAGCAAGTCACTGTTGTCCTAACAAAAACTCTAAGCAAATCCAAGTTTGAAGAATTGAGAATTAAATTTGGTGTTTCTAGCAAAGGTATTAGGGAGGATTGTTAAAATAAGTAATATCTTGTTGGAAGTATGTTCAATGTTCCAAAAACCGGACCGAGGCTTGACCCATTCAAGGGTCCGGTTTCTGGTTTGATTGGTTTGATCAGTTGGACCGTATCTTATAAAATTACATTGTAGACCCTAAATGTTTGAAATTCATCAAAAACACCCCTAAATAATACGCATGACTCCCTTAAGGTTTGAAATCTATCCAAAACAGCCCTGTCACGCGAAGAGACTGGTGAGTGCTGGCAGTAGCAACGATTGACGGCCAATCAAAGTTTGGAATCATGCGGCTTTTGATGTATAGGTGCCGAAAAATCTTATGGTGGTGTTAGGGAGTTATACCGGCGCCAGAATTTTTTGGAATTAAGAAGAAAGGTCGACAGTTGCATGAATAGCTGACGACAATCGATAGCCAATCAAAGTTGGAATCATAGGGCTTTGATGTAGAGGTGCCGACGAATCTTATAGTGGTGTCAAGGAGTTCTAACGGTGTCGAAATTTGCTGGAATCAAGAAGGAAGGCCGATGGTTGTGTGAACGATAGGTGGCGAGCAACGAAAGGCTGGATGGTAGCCACTAAAAATGGATGGGTTTTGTTGTGGAGATGTCGTCAAGTCTTATGGTGGTGTTATCTCCCTCGAACGATACTGGAATTCGGTAGGATTGACTTACGATTGGACCACGATTCGACACTATTCCGACAGTCCAACCGCAGCTCAATCCGGTTTGATTAATAATGCCGGTTTTCAGGGGAAACCGGAAGGGAGATGACATCGGTTCCCGATCGAACTGGTCAGACCGAACGGTCCAGTCCAGTCCAGTTTTCAGAACACTAAGTACGTTAATACTAAACGATCCTATGCTATTAAAGGTAAACATAATGGAAACAAGGTGAAAATTAGTGTAACATGAATTAAGGTCCATATGGCATATAATTTAAACTTAGCTGGGTGAAAATTGTTACCTTTTATGCTTTACAACTTTTGTAACTTGAAAATGAGTTCAAGATCTTCAACAAATTTGATAAAAATCTTCAAAGTAAAGTCCACCCTAAGATGAAGAGAAGAGAGTTGACCATGAGAGCTCAAGAAAGAGAATTTCAATTAAAATGAAAATTAGGTTAGATTTGGGAAATATCACTTATTTATATACAAGGACCATTTTGCAGTAATTTGAAATTGTTCTCAAGTCCTTGAATTAATATGAATCATATATTAACCCTTAATACAAATTCAATATTATTTTCAAGTCCTTAAAATAATTTCAATTTAATCTTAACTTTTAATATTAAATCATTATTGGTTTTAAGTCCTTGAAACAATTTCAATTTAATATTAACTCCTTAATATTAAATCATTGATTTAAACAAATTTATAATCAAGGCATATAAAATAATCGCATTTAATATCTAACCCATTATTGAATCCAACTCAATAATATATTTTAGTCCATTATTGAATCTAATCCAATAATGACTAAATTACCTTATTACCCTTGATAAGTGCTAGTTTTCCAAGAGTAATCATTTCTCACCAATACATAAATTTGTATACACACATTTACATCCGAACATCGTTAACCTTTAATGATATGTATTACTCTCTCTTCTCATACTTGTTTTAGGTCTGACCATTTATGTTCACTATAACCTAGCAGTGGGCCCAATATCGCAATCCGATATATTTCGTCATAACTCTTTATGATTGAAACTCCCACTAAACATGATAGGCATTTAGCAATGCTCCATAACCTCTAAGCGACAATGAAGTTAAACTCCAATGAGCCTTTCTCCCGATCGTATGTTCTGTGTAGTAAAATCCCTGTCGTCTAATACCGATTAAGTATAGGTTTATGGTAAGTCAAAACCCTTAACTTAATCTTTATTTGAATCATCAATTAATACAATGGAACGTGTTATCATGAAACTCTTTTTCATATGACTGTTTAGTACTCTGGTTAGAGATTTCCTTTTTCCAATGTTTATTGACATTCGTCTAGGAACTCGAGACCAAACTATTTTGAGTCAACAGATCCCATCTAGACCATCACTTTTTCTCGCAAATGAACAACATATGACCAAACCAGCTTCTTACACAAGACAAGACTAGTCTCGTGTTTATACATCATATGAACCATATGCATCATATATCGAATCTAACTGTGATGTCTCAGGTCTAAAGATTAGTAGTACACTAGTACAACCCTACAATGTATCATTGACCACATTCTAAATGTCCATGTGATTCATTGTAATTGGTCATATTTGATAAACAATTCACTAACCATTTCTCCATGCTAATGCCCTAGTGATATAACTCTTATAATCACCCACACTAATACCATCACGTGATATTCAATGGAGACATTTAGCATGCCTACTATGCATTGTTATTGCCCAATTAACATTACTTACATAGGGAATGCTTCGATGATTTGATCTTCTAAAGATTTGTATCATCTGGACATTTCACATGCATTACAAATAATATAAATGAAGCAGTAAATAACATGTGGAATCAAAACTTTTTCTTCCATTCTTAAAAGAATATTTACAAGATTTATTGCCCTGAAACCGATAACATGACTGATTTCAAGGGCATACACTAACAAATACGATATGCATGCCTACGCGATTTGAAGCTTGCGATCATGTGTGCAAGCTCAAATGGATGCGAGTTGTAGATAGATGTGATCAACAATGATCTGGAGAGCATGTGACCTAAAGTGCATGCCAACTGAAAGAAGCGACCAGGAAGTAAGCGACTTGGAAGCAATGCTAACTAAAATCCATGCGATTGAATGTGAATGTGATCTAATGTATTATACAACCTGAAAGAGGTCAATGGTTTAGGAGGTGGTGTTAGATTGAATTTTTGACTCTGAATCAGCCAGAATTTGGCTGGAAAAATCAACACCCTAACTATCATAGGGGTGTGTTTGATAGAATTCAAACATATAGGGACTGATAGATTTATTAGAGGTATGTTTATTAGATTTTAAACTTATTTATGTTAGACCATCGGTTTAACCATTTTGACCCCTTGGCAGGGTGACACCTTGGGTTGGGTTCCTAATCATTATTTTTAATATCTTAATTTATGTAAAGCCCAATATTTTGAGAGAAAAAGAAATTTACTTTTTCAACTCTGATTAGGTTAAATTTGGCATAGTAAACGGATTTGGAAGGGGAGAGCGACATTTTCCCACCCAATGTTTGGCAAAATGACCTTTTCCACCCGTTAAGTTTCAAAATGACACTTTTTCACCCTTCATCAGATTCAATTAGTGTTTTCTGTTAATATTTGACTAAAAAGATGAAAATACCCTTAAATAGTTTATTATAAATTAAAATTTAATTAAGTTAAAGTGATTATTCATTAGTTCAAATGTAAAAATATTTTTTTTTTCTAACTTTTTTTATTTAATTAATTAGGAATATTGATTTTTTATGTTAATTAGTAAAAATGAAAAATATTGTGTTATGAAAAACATTATAAATTTAATAGATTATTGACTAATAGTGATAAGATATTAATGACATTATAAATAAATATTAAGATTATTTAACTTTAAACAATTCTATAACATTACTCCTAAGTTTTTAGTTGGAGTTAACTATTTTTTCTTTTTTAACTTTTTAATATTTGACTTTTTGGTTAGTTAATAAATAATAAAAAATTTATAAAGATAAATAAGTAAGGACATTTCCATTTTTTTAGTTAAATATTAACAGAAAATATAATACAACTTAACTAAAGTAGAAAAGTGTCAGTAATAGAAGATAAGACCCTAATAAATGCTCACCGGTAAACATGCGAAAGTTATTCAATACAATTCAGGAAATGATTGAAATGTGGCAAATGACTAATGAGTGTCCTATTTTCCAATTGTATTAACTTACGTGTTGTAATGAACCGTAGGGCCTGCAATTCACACCTCAGCTTATGTAACCTTGCAGGCAACATCTTTAGATACATAATAAAAAGTCTGCCTGCACTGCATTCTCAATGGAGTACAAATATTAGTCCTAGGACGCCAGGATAGTGCACATTCTCAGACTATACTCTCAACAAAACAATTTTTTCAAGAACTACTTTTGTTTCTCCTCCCTTTAGTAACGCAAGCCAATTTTTTGTTTGTTATTCATCAACTTTGTGATTATTTCATATAACGACCACTGAATAGTACAATCTTTCCAAGTACACATTGCTTGTTCAAGTAAACATAGTTAATTATGATATGGCCAAGATAGTTCAACATATTCAAGAAGAGATATCTTGTGAATCTAGTATGGATATTAGCAAAGTGGCAGATAGGGAGATTGATGATGATGGAAGGTATAAAAGAACTGGTATTCATCCTGTCTTAACTCCTATATACATATGCCTTCAACTTATGATTTTGTTTTTTCTTTTTGATGGATCAAGCGTCCGTGTATAATTTAATTTTATACTTTTCATGCATGTAACTTTTGTGTTTGACATAATCTGATTTCATATCTAAACAAAGCATTCATGTTCTTCAATGAGGATCCGATAATAACTATGTTAAACCCAAACCGGATCCGATAATAACTATGTTAAACCCAAACCAACTTGTGGCCAAGCGTTTCCTTGCATGGTAAAAGGAAGTCAAATATACGTAATAGGGTCCTATCATCTATTGGCAACGAGGCTTCTTGGCAGAGATTTGACCAGCAAAACCAGATGCATGCATTCTTATTGCTTAGGCTCCACATTTTCTTATTTATCCTCGCTGAAGTAATGGCTAAAGGACAATGATAATTAATCAAATCTGAATACTTTATAGTCCTTGAAAATGCAAGTCTGTAATTGCATTTAAGATCACTAATACAGCGGGGTAAATTTTATTCCCAGTCAAAGTAACTTTTACTTTTGAAGTTATATATAATTCTAATTTGGTGAGGTTACCCAGGGACCGTGTGGACTGCAAGTTCACATATAATTACAGCCATAGTAGGATCTGGAGTGCTGTCACTGGCCTGGGGGATAGCACAGCTGGGATGGATCACCGGCGTTGCAACTCTTTTAATTTTCTCAGCCATATCATTATACACAGCCGGTCTCTTAGCAGATTGTTACAGGGCTCCAGATTCTGGAAAGAGAAATTACTCATATGGGGAGGCTGTAAAATGTTACTTAGGTAAGTTTAGATATATCGTACAATACAAAGTAAGAATTACATCCAATCACATCAAGGTAAAGTTATATTGAATCTGATTTTGATTTTTCTGGATGGTTTATATTTATTAGGTGGAAACAAGTACAAGGTCTGTGAGTTGGTCCAGTTTATACTCCTGACTGGGATGCTAGTAGGCTATACCATCACAACATCAATAAGCATGGAGTAAGATAATCATATTAAGCTACATTAATTAACTTTTTAATTAAGCTGGAGCTAATTACTATGTTCAATTTAATTTTTTTCAACAAACTTTCAGGGCCATACGCAGATCGAATTGTTTCCACAAAGAAGGCCATGGAGCGCCATGCAAGTTATCCAATAATCAATACATGATTGCAATTGGAATTGTTGAAATTCTTTTGTCTCAAATCCCAAACTTTCATAAGCTATCATGGCTCTCCACCGTCGCTGCAATCATGTCTTTTTCGTATTCAGGCATTGGAATGGGGCTGGCATTTGTAAAGATTGTTTCAGGTAAATGAGTTAATTTGTTGGGTGTTTTTCTTTCTACCAATTAACTATTAATTTCTTGTTATTCGGTGGAGTGTTACTATGGTTATAGATGAACATAGGCCCCAATGATGGGCTCTAACGATTGTTATATATCAACAAACAGCAGTAGCATATATTCCTTACCATAAAAGTCTCTGAGATTTGAACAGGGCAAGCAGAAAAGACCACTCTCACAGGAGTGGAAATTGGGCTGGACTTAACTGCTGCAGAGAAAATTTGGAGGATGTTTAGAGCACTGGGGGACATGACATTTGCTTGCGCATATTCTCCTATCCTGATTGAAATCCAAGTAAGCGAACCTATGACCACCCACTATTTGATAAATTGTCAAGACTTAATTCCCATTAATCGGCTCTGCATCGCTGGGGAAATAATTTGAACTTAAGCATGTATGGTGTGAGTCTAAATTTAACTGCAAGTCTTACTTTTGTAGTAAATCATTCTAATGTATGTCTTTATGTTTTTCCCATAAATGTTTAGAACACATTGAGGTCATCACCGCCAGCAAACAAAGTTATGAAGAAGGCTAACGTAATAGCTACGTTTACAGCCACAACTTTGAACATGGTATGCGGCTGCCTTGGCTACGCCGCATTAGGGAACCATCAGCCGGGCAACATGTTGACTGGCTTTGGATTTTACGAGCCTTTTTGGTTGATTGATTTAGCCAATTTCTTCATTGTCGTGCACCTCATGGGAGCATATCAGGTTTTCTCTTAATCCTCTTATGTCTCATAAAACGTAATACAACCGGAATTGCTCACATTTCTCCCAATTAAATGTCCTTAATTTTTAGTGAATCTTTGGATAAATAGGTAGTGGCTCAACCAGTATTCAGCTCGGTCGAGTCAAGGGCTAGCATGATGTGGCCTAATTCAAAGTTCATCGGCCACGAATACCCTCTAAACATCAGCAAGATTAAGTCAATGTTTAGCGTCAATCTCTTCAGGTTAAGTTGGAGAACGATATTTGTGGTAATGGCAACGGTAATTTCCATGGCATTGCCGTTCTTCAATGAAGTACTTGCACTTCTTGGAGCCATTGGTTACTGGCCCTTGACAGTTTATTTCCCTGTGGAGATGTACATTGTGAGAAAAAATTTTAAAAGAGGAAGTATCAAATGGTTGAGTCTCCAGCTTCTGAACGTTGTGTGCTTGCTGGCTGCCATGGCCGCATTATGTGGCTCCATTCAAGGCTTGAACCAGGCTGTCCATACCTACAAGCCCTTCAAGTTCCATTAATTAAGATGTTTGTAACAGTGTAACTTAAGACCTTATCTGTTAATTTGAGTTTTGATTTCAGATTACAAAAAAAAGTAATCTGAAATCAAAACTCAAAGATGAGGCAATTCCATTATTAAACAGTAAGGACTTGCTTGGTGTGCGATTAAAAGATGAGTGTTTAAACATGATTTACATATTTAATTTCTACAAACTTTAAACGTGATGAGAATAATCTAATGATCACTATGAAGCAATAAACTCAATATTTGGTTTTTGGGTTGTTTTCAGAATTAAATCACACCAAGCAAGTCCTTACTGTTTAATAATGGAATTGCCCTTATCTTGGAGTTGAAAAGGATGGAAGAAGGCCCTTTTATAATAGTCAGTAATTGACCATTTATGATTTGGTCACCCTTGATGATAAAATATATATATATATATAAAATGAACATAAAAAGACAGTCCACGAAAAGTTTGACCAAGATTCTCATATCTATATTCAACATTCTATAACAAATAATATCTGAAGGTTCGTGTTACTTGACACCGTTCCATTTCATTTGTCTTAGTCTTAATCGTACACCATCCCAATTCCTTTTGTGTTTGACATAATCTGATTTCATATCTAAACAAAGCATGCATGTTCTTCAATGAGGATCCGATAATAACTATGTTAAACCCAAACCAACTTGTGGCCAAGCGTTTCCTTGCATGGTAAAAGGAAGTCAAATATACATAATAGGGTCCTATCATCTATTGGCAACGAGGCTTCTTGGCAGAGATTTGACCAGCAAAACCAGATGCAAGCATTCTTCATTGCTTAGGCTCCACATTTTCTAATTTACCCTCGCTGAAGTAATGGCTAAAGGACAATGATAATTAATCAAACTTGAATACTTTATAGTCCTTGTAAATGCAGGTCTGTAATTGCATTTAACATCACTAATACAGTGGGGAAAACTATATTCCCAGTTAAACTAACTTTTACTTTTGAAGCTATATATAATTCTAATTTGGCGAGGTTACACAGGGACTGTGCGGACTGCAAGTGCACATATAATTACAGCCATAGTGGGATCTGGAGTGCTGTCACTGGCCTGGCGGATGGCACAGCTGGGATGGATCACCGGCGTTGCAACTCTTTTAATTTTCTCAGCCATATCATTGTACACAGCCGGTCTCTTAGCAGATTGTTACAGGGCTCCACACTCTGGAGAGAAATTACTCATATGGGGAGGCTGTCAAATGTTACTTAGGTAAGGGCTTGTAGGTATGGAACCAGGCTGTCCATACCTACTAGCCCTTCAAGTTCCATTAATTAAGACGTTTGTAACAGTGTAACTTAAGAGTTAAGACCTTATCTGTTAATTTGAGTTTTGATTTCAGATTCCCAAAAAAAAAAAAGAAAAAAAAAGTGCGTGCATCTAGATTAAAAGACCTTTTTTTTTTTTTCTCTAAATGTTAGGTGTGAAACCCAGTTTTCTTCCGATTGGTTCACCTGATGCTGAGCTTTATTGGCTTGTATAATCATTAAATCATTTATTGAATTTGGAAAAATAAGCCTCCTCGTGAAACAACTTGTATACTTTTTCTTATAAATTTAATTTAGTAATTTTCTATCTAGAAGATTCTCATTTATTTATTTCAGTTAATAGGATTTTTCTTTATTAAAAAAAAAAAACTTAAAAATGAGGTTTTATGCACTCCTGGGTTCGAATCCCTCAAGATACTAATACGTAATAAGGGTAACCACTTGAGTTCTTATCTTATTGGCAATTCCAGATTTTCAAAAGATTAGATGAGGTAGGACTCTTATCTTGCCAGCAATTTCAAGTTTTCAAGAGATTAGTTGAGGTAGATGTAAGTTAGTTCAGACACTCTTGATGTTAAAAAAAAAAAAAAAAAAAGCCTCTTTAATTAATTTTGTATCGAAAAATACCCAGTTGATCATGTGCAAAGATATTGTCATTAAGAAAAAAATATCAAGAAAATTATAATCAAGCGCGGTGAAACAGGACAAATGGGATTAGAGAAATGTAAGGTAGGGTTAGCAATGGTGTACACGGAAATGAATGGTTTCAAAAGAAAAGTTTGACCAAGATTGGGATCACATACTATTCTCATATCTATGGTCGACATTCAACAACAAATAATGTAAACCACGTTTCAGAAGTGAAGATATAGATTTTGTAGAGGAGGTTGTAGGGAGTCTAACGGTGGTCTCAGAAGTGATTTTGGACTTTGGAATTGACTGAAAAAAGCCAAAAACTGGTAGCTTAGATGCTATTAATGTAAACCACGTTTTGCTAAAATTAGCCTATCTTCTGCCAAAGAAAATGTCGATGCACTTTAGCGTGCTAACGTGCATCGTGCTACAGTGAAAATTTAAGAATCTGTTGAAATAAAATAAACGATAGTATTTTAAGGATGAAAATCTAAAATAAATACAATCAAAGGTATTAATTTGAGATTTCACTAAGCCTTTGGTGGGAATATGCCATCTAATCTATTTAATCAACAATCATAAAGTTATAAGAAACAAAGGAAAAATTATTTTAATAGATTGTCAATATTTTTTCTTTTATCAGAGTAAGATAATTAAAATAAACAAAAAGTGGTTTCTAACATTAGATTAGATCTGATAAAATATGTAAAGAATTAATGTAAAATATATTTTTTAAATAAAAGAGAACTCTTTTCATTACAAAAAGCAAAACATCTTTGTAACTAGATAGTAAGAAACCAACTGCTTGATTTTGGATTTATTCCTCTCCAATATCGGGTAGGCAAAACCCACCTGTCATGATGCTTGGATACAGCTGATCTGTAATGGAACATAACACCAAATTTGACCGATCTTATAATCCCATTTTCATCAGTGGCAAAACTGCAATTATATTCTTTTCTAGGGTCATTTTGATTCCCAAAACCTTACTTATGAGCCCGCCCGCACACTCTCCTCGGCTAACTAAATTTCAAATCGCAATTGCAGTTGGTCCCGGCAAAAACTCTATTGGAGCAACTAACTGAAATCAATTGAAATGCCTAAATTACCCTCCCCATTTCTAGTACTGCTGCATACTTACTTCACTCTCCTTCTAATTTCCATACCCTTCCAAGTAAATTCTCAATTCCCAAACACAGAAGAACTAACCATCCTCCTCAACATTAAGCAAGAACTGGGAAATCCACCATCTCTCAGTTCTTGGAACGCCACGTCATCACCGTGCAACTGGCCTGGAATCACCTGCATAGAAAATTCGGTCACCGAAATTTCGCTCCAGAACAAATCCATCACCCAAAAAATCCCACCAACAATATGCAACCTGAAAAACTTAACCTCCCTTGACCTTTCCGTAAACAACATCCCCGGAGAGTTTCCAGATATCTTGAACTGCACCAGACTTGAAATCCTGGATCTCTCTCAGAATCTTTTCGTGGGTCCGTTACCAAACGATATCGACCGCCTTTCGGCTCTCCAATACATCAATTTTGGGGCTAACAACTTTTCTGGCTACATACCCCCGAGTATAGGCCGATTGTCGGAGTTGCAGGTGTTGTATCTTTATCAAAATGAGTTCGACGGCACGTTTCCGAAAGAAATCGGTAACTTATCTAATCTCGAAGTGCTGGGTTTGGCCTTTAATGAGAAGATGAAACCTGCAAGTATTCCAGTCGAATTTGGAAAGTTAAAGAAGTTGCAGACTCTGTGGATTAATGAAGCAAACTTGATGGGCGAAATCCCGGATTCTCTCACCAATCTTACGAGTCTTGAAACTCTGTCTTTGGCAATAAACCAGTTGTCAGGTCCTATTCCTAGTGGATTGTTTTCGTTAAAGAACTTGACAAGCTTGTATCTCTTCCACAATAAACTATCTGGTGAGTTGCCAAACTCGTTTGAAGGTCAGGTAAAACATTGCAGAATGGGCATGGAGACACTATGCAGAAGAAAAGCCTATCATGGATGTTTTTGACCCGGAGATAAAGGAATCAGGTTACCTGGAACAAATGACCACAGTATTTAAACTAGGACTTATTTGTACAAGCACCTTGCTAAACGATAGGCCTTCCATGAGAGATGTTTCGGAGATTCTTCGTCGGTGTAATCCTACAGAAGCTTATGGAGGGAGAATGACACGACATGACCCGTCCCGACCTTCTCTTCCCATAGGATCCGGGCACTCCCACAAGACTCGGATGATCGAGACGTGTCGTGTAGGGAAAACTGTGAAACCTAAAATCTTGTTTTCCTGAATATACTTTACATAAATAATCCGTATGAAAATATAATCAGAAATATATGTATGGTAGGTACATAAACATAATTAGGAAGTTTGGAAAAATATAATGCATAATCCACGAAAATCTGGAAACAGAGGATCAAGTCTTGTGTAATTACAACAAAAACATGAGACTATTACAAAAGAAACATAAGCCATTTTGCTTTTTGGTTGGAACATATGCCATAATACACACATGAGAAGATGTCGACGCGTGGCACAACCTTGAGCGGTGACTCACTGCTCAGCACGATCTCCTTGTGAACCTGGGGGGAGGAAAACATTTTTGAAAATGGGTGAGCTGAAATACTCAGTGAGTGGAGGAAAGGGGAAGTTTGCAAAACATTCGTCAAACAAAAGTCATGGCATGCAATGGTTCTTATGAAATACTGAAAACAACATGATTCTATGAACATGATATGGTGGCAACTAATCATTCATGTATGCATGCATAACTCATTTCTAATTGTTCTAAGTATTGTAATCTGATCAATTAAACTGACAACAATTTTTGAATCCTAGCTCATCACTTGTTACGAAATCATTGCTATTAGTCTCCTACGTTTTCTCCCCTTGTATATTTTATTTCCTCTTTTGTATATTTCTTAGTTGTACATGATTCCTATAATCTTTCCTTCCTGTAATTAGTCTGTATCTTGTAACTATTTAATCCCATTGTTGAAAGAGAATAATACAAAGTTTTAATTCCCTTTCATTCAACTCTTGCTCTCTGTTGGACTAGTATTCTTTACTTGGTATCAGAGCGAGGTTCGTACCATCCATACTGTTGTAGATGTGCATCTAAATACTACTGCAACTAAAAAGTGATGCCAAGGTGGCAAAGTTGCTGTTAGTTTTTTTTTACAGTTATTGTTTAGTTTATGTGCAGTTTGTAAGCAGTTGTTTTGCAGTTTTTTTTTTTTGATGCTCTGTAACTTTTAAACGCTTTCTAGTGTGTGAGTGTGTAGAAGAAAAAAGTTCAGTTTGATTAATGGTGAATCAATTTTTTTCTGCAATTGATCTTCTTAATTTGCTATTACCTTTGCTTTAATTGTTCTATGCTACAACAAATTCGTATCATAGCATAATTCTCAAGGGACTTGTGAGAGGTGTGTGAGTAAGAATGGCTTCTAATTCATTCAATCCAGTTGCTCCACCAGTGTTTAATGGTGAGCATTATCATATTTGGGCTGTAAAAATGACCACGTTTCTACAAGCCGTAGATCTTTGGGAAGCTGTAGAAGAAGACTATGAAGTAGAGCCTTTGTCGGATAATCCTACGATGCAGCAGATTAAAGCTCACAAGGAGAGGGTTACAAAGAAGTACAAGGCTAAAATGTGTCTTCATTCAGCGATTTCACAGGGCTTGTTCACGAAGATAATGAATTTTCAGTCAGCTTATCAGATTTGGCAATATCTTAGGGTAGAGTTTTAGGGTAATGAAAGAACAAGGAGCATGAATGTGTTGAACCTGCGAAGAGAGTTCGAACTCCAAAGAATGAAGGAGTCCGAAACTATCAAGGAGTATGCAGACAGACTTCATGGGATTGTCAACCAGATTCGGCTTCTTGGAGAAGAGTTTTCAGATAGGAGAATTATAGAGAAACTCCTAGTTACTTTGCCTGATAAGTTTGAGGTTAAGATATCAACCTTGGAAGAGACCAATGATATGGCAACGATTTTGTTGGCAGAGCTTTTGAGTGCTTTGCAAGTGTAACGACTGCTTTCTACTCGTATTCTCATAAAATATGCATAGTGAAATACATGTAAAATAGCATAAAAGTTGGGCCCAAATTTTTCTTTTATTAAACATATACATTCTTTATACAAAAGCTGTATCATATACAAAAACATCAAAGGCAAGGTGGATAGTGTAGCCATTTCCCTTTGCTTGCCGACGCCCATCCGACTGTGTCCTCACCTAGGTCCTGCAAAAACATAGAAAACAACGGGGTGAGCATAACTAAGGCTCAGTAAGTAAATCCTCTACTCATCTATCCCCGTAACTCTCTCTCTGATTCTTTCCTTACAATTCTCATTTACTCTCTCTTTTATAATCTCTCTGTTTTCTCTTTCTCATAACTCTTTTCTACTAACTCTCTTTAGTAAGTCACGGCCCCATCTGACCGGAGGCACGGTTGGGACTCACTCCCACTCTACGTGACTTGTACTCATTCTAGCCGATCGGACTCGGTTATGTATGGATTCGGAACCTTTGGCCATGTGAGTATATAATCTATCTCTCGGGTACTCTCGGGTATAGCCCTCTGATAATCCGTAAATTATACAGTTTTTATTTGATCTTTTTGTCGGATTTCAGGTACTTTCTAGTGCATTTTTACCTGAATTGGTGCGTAATTCTCTACTTTTCGTGTTTCAGGTTAAAATGGACTCTTTTAGCGAATAAAGGCAAAAGTTGACAGTTTTGACTCAGAATTGAAGGATTTCAGAAGATAGGAGAGTTCCGGAGTAGGACAATGCACGATGAAGCTTGTTTCCAAGGTGGAGAGTCGAAAATCGAAGAATCGGACGAAGAGGCAAGCAGAGTGGCAGTTCGTAAATTTCAGAACTTTTGAAGAAGCTTCGCCCCGGCGAAGAAATTGTCTTCGCCGCGGCGAAGTTAGGCAGTTCGAATTGGGATTTTTCATTCTTCGCCGCGGCGAAGTCAAATTTCAGTTTTGTAAACGCACAGTTTCGTGTGTGCGTGTTTTTGACTGGGTTTTTAGGACTAGGTATAAAAGAAAAAGAGGAACTTTTTGTAAGAGTCCGAGGTTAGGTTTAGCGTTTTTACATTTCCTTAGAGAAAAAGCTTGAGTTTTTCGGATTGTGAGGGAGAAGGTTCAGATTTTGACTGGAGATTCATCTTTTGGGGAGATTTCTATTCTTTCATCTCAGTTTCATTATGTTTATTCTGTTTACTTTTATTTTCCGTTTTTTTTGTTAAATAGCTATGAACTAATCTTCTATGGGTTAGGGTTTTGATTGTAGTTGGGTTTGAAATGGGTTGAATATGTGATGTGCTATTTCCATGTGAATAAACTGTGGTTGTGTGTTACTCTGAAATTAATTGTTGTATGTGATGAACATGATGAGATTGAGAAATAATTCATGTTAAGCTTCATGGGTAATAACCATTATAGTATTGGATGCTAGAGATAGATTAAGAATTAATGAAATCTTTAGGATTCTTGTGCTTCATGATTTAGAATTATTAACCTTCAATTTGTTGGGTGCGGAATGTTTAATGATGAATAGGAAAACATAGCCGAGAGGGTATGTTATCATAGTAGTGAATCCGATTTACAACCATTGCACGTGAATGTGAAAATAGTGTAACTCTTAGGTTTAACCATAAATAATCCAAACGAAGTCAAAACCCTACCCGTTTTACTTAAATGAATTTCTGTGTTTCATTTGCTTCTTTTTAAGAATTATTCTTTGTTAAATTTATTTTGTTGTTTAATTACAAATTGCTCCCACAAATCCAAGATTTTCGGTTGCTTCAACTTGTTAACGTTAGGAACTTAGTGCTTAGCTACCAGTCCTCGTGGGAACGATATACACCTCACTCTATTACTTGAACGACTAGTGCACTTGCTAGTTTTGCATGTTGTAGTTACAACGCATCAACGATTCCACTCATCAGAGAAATAGTTGAGAGGAAAGATGTGCAGATCAGTAAAGTGCATACTAACGACAATCTTGCAGATCATGACAAAGCCTCTGTTGTAGCAGAAGCATGAAAGGCACTGAGATCATTTGGTATTAAATACATGAATAATTGGCTGTAGTGCAAGTGGGAGATTGTTAGAGTAGGTACCCAGAGCCAATCAATTATTGTAGAATTGACTCTAGTAATAATGTTCATTAATCAATAAAAATGCATTTTATTCTATATCACATAAATCATCATTTTAGTATGATATATGTCCTTAGAATGGTAAAACCATGACGAGGGTATCAAGTGTTTCAAATCTTGATAGTGAGAACCCTATGAACACATATGGTGGCAATTCTAGAAACGTCTGTAACCCTAGTATTATTCTGAAGAAGGGCACAAATAATACGGTAAGGCTATCATAGTGTTGAAAGACCCTGTCGAAAGGTAGTGCTGATCTCACTTGTCAAGGTTGTTTGGTGACAACCTGGTGCAACACATGGGTGTTTGCTATAAGCAAGTTCACTGGACTGACCCACCAGAGGATTCCATATGGATGGTAACCCCAGTGTCTATGGAACAAATCCTCTAACGAATGGTGGTGCATGTGATCCTTAGACTTGAGATCACCGTAGCGCCTTGTGCACCGATTGGTGTAGTTTGACACTAGCCTAACGCAGTTCTATTCAGAGCTGTCAATACGATAGTGATTGGCTGCATCAAGGAGTGTATCAAGACTATGGTGGATTGACAGAGGATTCATCACTCCCAGGTACGGGAGAAGTTATCTCACGACGCAATTCAGTAAATGGCAATGACACTAAAACTGTGGCCACAGTGGGATTGAGTTGTTGCTCTATCCAGTTTATAATTCAAGTCATTGGTCTAGTAACTGAATACATAATATCCAAAGTAACCGAGGTTGACACTATTTCTATGCCTTGGTCTTGTCGAGATAATGAATGATGAAAGGATTGGATTGTACAGTAACCATATCGTTGACAGGTAGCTGCTTCGCTGAATCCAAATCTATCGG